AATACTATGATACACTCTTCAATCCCCCTGGTACTTTGTAATATCCTTATTCGTTAAAATTGAATGTGAGCTATGCCTTTTTATTTATTTATTTATTTTCTCTCTCTTATTTGATTATATTTTGTATTATTATTTGTGTTCCTTTTTAATGCAATAAAAAAAATCATACACCTGGCATGGTCTTTGTTGTGAAAAACAGGCAATGACATTTATCTCACACCACAATAACCTACTCACATTAATGGGGCAATGATGTTGTTGCGAGATCAAATCCTTGTAGGCTACTTCGACTCTAAGTGCGTGACAGCTTTATGAACTTGACTGCTCGAGTCTGTGAGACGCACCGGAAATTAAGCGTTAGCGTTAGTTCTGGCAGGTCACGTGAATCAAGCTTGCATCAGCTGATTCTCAGCTGATCACATCTACCTATAGGAATACGACACCTATCGCGGCATTCCTATGTAAGCTCTATTCAGTATTATTCAGCAGCTTTTCAGCTTGCTCCGGAGCAAATTACCCTCCTCCATCCCCAGCTCCTCCTTTCGCCACAGTCAGGACTTGGCTTTCTGATATTCCTTGCTAATCAGACTCCTTTATCTTGAATAAAGTGTTACACTTAAATATCATTAAGTACATTAATGATATCTACCTTGTTCTGTTCTGTTCTGTTAACCCTAGGGGGGTTATTATTGCTGCTCTCCCTGCTCATTCATGACAGGCTGCATGGATGGACAGGGAGGTTTTTGCCCAGAACAGAACCATACCGCTAAACCAAACTTTATGCTAAGTATCTATCATTTTGACGATAATGGTCCTGACAGAAGTTAAGTCGTGACGTTGCAGAGAAAATGCGTTCGCATCAAGTGGATGCGAATGAATGTTAAGAGCGCATTCGCTCTTAATGTGAAATCTGTGAAACCAGATTCAACCAGAATTGGGAAAATGTATCATTTAAGGGCTGCCTCTGCCTCCCTTTCAATTCAATGAGTTGACATTTTTATTTAGGCTAATGGCCATGCCCACAAATAATGAATTGGAATTTTAAAGGAAATTCAACAAAGTTGGCCTATGTGCAAAGTTGATGAAATATATGGAATATAAAATATAAATGTATTACATATGATATATAGGTTAAACATTTCTATTTGTGAGATTTCAAACCAATTTTTTCCCGAAGTGGATGGCAAGCTGCAGGCGACAGGTTCATGATGAAATGTCAATGCATTAAATTAATCAAATGGATAAAATGTCTATTTTTTTTTATCTACAGATATCATGTTTATACTATCAAAATTGAACACGTGCACAATTTTATCACAAAGTCTATATTTTTTTCCAAATAATGTGAATCATTACGTTTTAATTCAAGTTTAGCATTATGTAAAATTCTGGGGTACTTTGTAAGGTTTTTTATTTCTTTTTGAATGCAGATTGGATATATCTGTAGCACTTTTTGAAGTTAATCATATAATTAATTTTAGAGTTCAACTGGGGAAAAAAAGGTAACCACTCAGAGACAGCAATGATTTTAAAATGGAGATTAAAAGGAGACTTTTGCTTTAATTCTTGCAAAACCTAATTATCTACGCCATCCACATTAATTTTATCACTCTATTGACTGTACGTCAACAATTGTCTTAATTTGCTGACATTTTATTTTTAACCAAGGAAACTGTAGAACAACCTGTGACACATTTGAGAAATTCCCTGAGCAAGCCATGGGCGATAAAATACTCCTCTGGGTCATTAAAGGCATACAAGCACATTTTAGAAAAATGATTACGCAATAAAGATGACCGCAGAAGCCTATAAGGCCATTTCTAAGTGTTCTTCTCTCCCTTGTGTTCCAGAACCTTTCTCTTCACACCTAAATCACATTACACCAATGACAGGATTGTAGCACGACATAAGCGTACCAACATATTTGGGTATGAATGGCTTGTTATTATGTGCATGTATGCGGTGTATTTCTTAGCGATAACATTCTTTTACACGCATACAAAACGCACTGTGACAATGGCAGTGAAACAGAACACAATTTGTACTCCTAAGGCCAGAAACATATTCTATGCAAGTATGCGGATGCTTGGTTAACACATTGCAAACGCTAGAACAAATGTTATATCAGCCGTTTTCGAAATACAAAATGTACAAATTGGTTACAGTTCAAGTAAAAAATGGTAACAAATTAATAAAAAAAAAATGTTTCCCCCCACATTACATGTGTGGGGCTTCATTACTATTTACTAGGCTACTAGTTAACTGTTTCCAGAATAGCATAATAGCATACAGTTCTTACTATGGAACCTCACACATGACATGCAGAAAAAAAGATAAAATGGGCACAAACTAGGAATTTGTTCTCATAATTTATTAATTAGTTCCCTCGCTTTAGTTTATTAGTGGCCATGTTGTACTACTTTGTTCCCTCACTTTAGTTAAACTGTGGATTTAACTAAAACAACAGAGCTAATTAATGAAACGTGGCCACAAATGAATAACTCGTAGGAATGAATTCTTAATTTGTGGCAACAATATCTTGTTTTCCCCCCACATGTCATGTATGGGGCTCTGTAATTACTATTACTGCCATATAGCTCATTTTTCTCTGCTAATTAGCTAAAGCTAGTCAAAGCATGCCATTTTGAATTCAGCCTTTGAATCACTTTAGCTAACATTTCCAAATAGCATAATGTATGACAGACATTTTAAGAACAGTATTCTATTCCAAATTCAGCAACTGATTAACAGAAGCTAACTAGTTTTGTAAGATTCTTTGCCAAACTGCTGATCTGCCATGTCAGAGAAAACTGACCATAGTTTATGCTAATATGTGCTGAGAATGCAACTGAGTCCTGACACATTTCAGAAAGCAACGACGTGTAGTTGGAAGCGTTTGCGTTCACATACTTGCGTAGCGTGCATTTCAGGCCTAAAAGAGAGATTTTCATTGGCACTAACAGAGATATACACACAGCTAGTTACAAAGCTGCATGATTGTGTGTGTTTGTGTGTGTGAGAGAGAGAGGAGAGAAAGAGAATGTAAAAGAACAATGCTAATCACGGCATTTGTTGAGGTAACCAGCATATATGCCCAATCAGAATGGCCTTTGATTGTGTTTTGGAGCTTTGCATGTGTGTATGTGATGAAAATCTCTACAAGAGCTTTTCTGTGTGCCATGGCCATTGAGTCTTTCTCTGTCTGTCTGTGTGTGTGTGTGTGTGTGTGTGTGTGTGTGTGTGCGTGTGTGTGTGTGAACATGTCTACCAAATTGAGATGTGTCTGATACTCAAGAATTTGAAACGAGTCTAGAAATATTTCCACTTCACTTCATGTGAACAAAAAAGAGCACTGTGTGTCTGTAAAAGAGTAATTCTGTGTGTCCATCAATCCTGTTGTCCATCTGAGAGAATGAATTTCGTTCTTCCCCTCATCTGTCTCTTTGTATCTCAGAAGACCATCAGGCCCAAATCTGCCTCTTCCACCGCTTCCGACGAGTTTATTAAAAAACCTTTCCATCCCTCTCTCTCTCTTCTCCTTCAATCATCTTTCAACTTTCCTTCTCTCCCCCCACCTCCCCCTCCCCCTGTTTTTCTCTTTTAATGTGTGATTCTTCCATAGTTTCACAGTCTTTCTAGAAGTTTCCTCGCTCGTGCGTTTGCTTTCCCAGCAGGCGGTGTTCGCATTCTTTTCTTTTTATTTCACCCCCATCCAATTCTTCCCTCCTTTCTGGATTTTTTCCCTTTTTTTCCAAGCGTCTTTAAAAATAATAATAAAAAAAACTTTCTCGGATTGTTCTACCTCAACACATTCACAAACGAGGTCTAGCTTCAAAACTACATCAGAGTACAAGGAGCTATAAAAATATATGTGTAGAGCGGAGGAGACTCCAGGGAAAAAGGAAAATGAGGGGGAACCAAACAAACTCGGTTTCTGCAACGGAATCAAAGCATTAAATTAATTTACAACTCAAAAAGGGGAAGAAACAAGGTCAGCATGTCATAAAAAATAGGAAAACAAAAATTAGGCCTAGCAAACTAACTTTACATGAAAAAAAAATCTAAAAATTATTTTACTGAGTATTCATATATAATTATAATCTATGTGTTGAAAACGATAAAAAAAAATTTTTTTGATGTTCGCTCATATTTTTGTGTTTTGGTTTTGAAACAGTCTAACAAACACACGCTCCCATGCTCACACTAACACTGTACTCAAACACGCACTCATCCGCACGCAAAAACACTCGCGAGTTGTACTGAAGCACGCCGGTCGCAACGTGTGCGACAGCAGTGTCGGAATATTTATCCTACACACTCACAAAATACACACGTTATTAAAATATACAAGATTCTCCACGCCACTACAACTCCACCAATCAAACACATGGGTTCTAGATCAGGTGACTGCAGCCCTGTGTGATGATTGGCTGAATCGATGGCCCCTCCCCCTTTCGAAGGAGTTTAACACAAACTAGACTAGTTGCTATTTGTGAGTAAATGTAGCATTCGAAGTCAAAGTTCACATGTTGTCTTTGTAGGTTTGGACAAGTTGAGTTTTCTTTTCTTTTTTGTGTGTTTATAGTCTTTTTGCAAGTACATCAGAAAAAGTTTTGATGCTTGTGCTCCAGAATGGGCCTCCAAAAAGGAGTTCATGTTTTTTTTCAGTTGGCTGAATCACTCCAGGAGGTCTTCTCTAGCTTTAAGAACTTTTCCCCATGTGGGACGTCAAAGAGAGGGAGGCCCTCACATCAGGACAACCTCTCTCTAACAAAAGGCCGAAGTTGGGTGAGTTGCGAGGAATGGTAACACACACACACACACACACACAGACACACTCGACCTCGAGCGGTCAGCGTGTCGGAGAAATGCGTGTGAAGGTAAAAGGATCTGATCTACAGGGATGCAGATTGTGGGGGCGGGGCTTGGGGCGGGGTTTAGGTAGTCATTTAAGGTGGGTGTGGTCTTAGCAGATGTTTTCGTAAGGTCGCCTCCGGTTCTCATACTTTATAGTAGATGTTGGCGGGACTCTGAGGGGGCATCTCCTGTACGATGTAGACCGGATGGCCGTAATCCCCGCTCACTTTCTCGTAGTGCGGGCAGTAGGCGGAGTCAGAAGTCCGCAACGGGATGATGATGTCGCTAGGCTCCGAGCCGTTGTTGTTGCCGCCTCCTACGCCCCCGCCGCAGCCCCGTTTGGGCGAGGTCAGGGAGGAGAGGGAGAGTGGAGGGTGGTGTGATTCCGAGTGCTTGGCGTGTCGTCGTCGGTAGCACACCACGCAGATCACGGCTGTTACGAGCAGTAGGAAAGCCGAACCGCCGGCTGCACCTGCGATAACAGCGACGTTGGAGGGGGGAAGGGGGCCGTTTTCTCCACCAGGACCTCTAGGGGGAATTCTGGGATGTGTGTTGTTTCCAGCACCTGCAAAACAGAGAAGAATTTGATCAATTCAACAGATATATAAAGACACTCCATATACAGGTGCATCTCAATAAATTAGAATGTCGTGGAAAAGTTCATTTATTTCAGTAATTCAACTCAAATTGTGAAACTCGTATATTAAATAAATTCAATGCACACAGACTGAAGTAGTTTAAGTCTTTGGTTCTTTTAATTGTGATGATTTTGGCTCACATTTAACAAAAACCCACCAACTCACTATCTCAACAAATTAGAATACTCCATAAGACCAATAAAAAAAAGTCCCCATATTCTAATTTGTTGAGATAGTGTATTGGTGGGTTTTTGTTAAATGTGAGCCAAAATCATCACAATTAAAAGAACCAAAGACTTAAACTACTTCAGTCTGTGTGCATTGAATTTATTTAATACACGAGTTTCACAATTTGAGTTGAATTACTGAAATAAATGAACTTTTCCACGACATTCTAATTTATTGAGATGCACCTGTATGTGATCTGCTCCATCATTTTGAGTCTTTTTGACCTAAATATATTTATTTATTTCAAGATTTCAAGAAAATAATATAAAATAATTAAATACGTAAAAATTTCAATGCTTAATTCCGTGTCATTAATAATAATTTTTGAGAAAATGGCTTTTTGTTAGGAGTTTATTCTAACATACACTACCTTTCAAATGTTTTAGGCTCAGTACAATTTTTTGTAAGATAATATAGGGCTCAGGGCTGCACAATTAATTTAATTTCTAATCATGATTACAATTCCGGATGCCACAATTATGTAATCGTTCAAAGATGCAACTACAAAAAAAGGTCCACTTACATTATTCTGCGTGCTTAAGATGTGTTTTTTTTTATGTTATCTTGCTATCAATGTTTTTCAGGAAGAGTGTTTTCAACTTATTTTCATATAAAAATATGACATGCAGTTGCTTCAAATGATAGTATAAAACTATGCAAAACATCATTCAATGTGAATTGTTATAACGGTAATTAATCGCAATTACAATTTCAAAGGAATAATCAACAATTATGATTTTTGTCATAATAATAATATAGCCTTAATATAATAATTGTATCTTTACTGTATAATTAAATATATATATAGTATATGGACATTCCTGTGGACACTGAATGACTTTTAGCAAGGCAGCAATCTGTCACACCACATTAAAGAGTGACAAAACAAAATGTATGGTTTGAAGTTTGTAATAAACTGGGCAATATGAAAGCTACAAATCCATCAAAAATTCAAGTTTTTCTTGCTTATAATCACATTTCCCTACAAACAGCTTACTGTGATAGCCGCTAAAATGATAGAGTGTGTCACATATTGCTTCTTTGAACAAACATGCACATTAGATTAGTTCACACAAGTCTCCTAAATTCCTTGGCTAAACATGTAGTTTTCTCAAGTTCAGTGCTTTTGTCAGGGAAACTTTTCCGAGTCTTTCTGGATTGCATGTGGTGATGACACCCATTAGTGAGATGACCACCTTTAACTTGTTCCCGTATTGGAGCGCGGACTCAGAGAAGTGCCCTCTGACACTTACATGAGTATTAGTCTGATGTAGCGGGTTCATTAGCGCTGCCACATCCTGCCCTCTAGCATCGCCTTCCTCCGTCTACCTCGTCATCTGATGGGCTAGTTAATGACTTTAACCAATCAAATGGAACAAATTAAATGGGGCCAGTCATCTAACCCTTTGATTGGCTTGTTCATGTCCTTAACAGATCAGACCGAACCAATTAGAGTCCTCCGTGTTCACTCAAACTGTCAGAAATCTGAATAAAGTTTGGAGGATGTTGTAAAGTACTGGACTTTTCTCTGAACTCGCTGACCAGTGACTCACATCACAATGAGTCAAGGTGGATTGGGTTTCCGTGAACAACCACGTTTTGGCACGGCCATAAAACACGCAGTGTAAACCTGCGGTCAGCCACTGCGGTCTGGCAATGGAGACGTGAACCGCAATCATCAGACCGTTGAGTTGAAAAATAAAGATGAGGAGATGAGTATTTGGACACAGCATTAAGGCCTGTTCACAACAAGAACGAAATGTAAAAGTGACAAATCTCAGACAAAAGGTCTATTCACAATGAGAGTAAATTGGAAAAACCTTCCATAATCAGTCAAAATGAAATCTCCAGTATAAATAGCTTCATAGAAGTGCTCTGTTTTTTTAACTCAAAGTCTCTTTTGAGTGAATATCCATGCTGAATATTTCCTCTCTGTGTGAACTGGCCTTTACAGTACTTGCAGATGAGGCTACACCATGAATTATTCTTAATATAGCAACTTTTTTGCTGCTGGAAGTTGTTTATCGTTCTTTTTTTTTTGCCCTACAAGCTGTTAAACACTCCAGGGTACACACCAGGGAGCAGCAGCTCTAAATGTTCTCCTCTGTAATAAAAAAAACATAATAAATACTTTTTTTTTTTTTTTTACAAATGAAACATAAGCTGTGGTTTATGTGCTGCAGGTTTAAACACTGGAATGGTGTATTTAGCCTCTTCTATGAACAACAGCTGAGAGCGCATTTTAATAGATGTGGGATCTATGAGGCTATATTAGTCATTTATCTTTACATAACGGGATTATGGCGTGTGGGAGGCATTTCGCAGGGGAAATGAAAGCCAATCTAAACGCTGTGGCTTGATTGGGCTCTTTAAGACGAGGAACCTGAGGAAGTACAAGACCACACAATAGAGATGTGCTAGATAACAACCACATGGTCATTCTCAAAGGTGGACTGCCTTACTATAAAAGACTTTATAGGTTATTAAAGGGGCACTTCAAACAAAAATGAAAATCTAATATGTAGGACTTTCTTTCTTGTGTGGAAAACAAAATGAGATGTTTTGCACAATGTCCAAGCTGCTGTTTTGACAAATATACATAAAATAGTCCATATGACTTCTGAAGCAATACGATAGCTTTGAGTGAGCAACGGACTGCTATGTATGTGATTTTTACAATGTAAATCTTGCCCTCTGTTGCTACAGCATGTTTTGTTTGCAACATGTAAGAACCAATGGTGTTTGGTGACATCAAATTAGCTTGAAATGCCAACTGAAATGAATTTTCATAGAAAAACAACTTGACACAGTCACTTCTGGCTTGTCGATTGTAACATTTTTAAAACATTTTCTTTAAAGCTGTATTGAGGGAAGTGCTTTACATATAAATTTGAATTGAACTGAATCAAACTTAAATTTTGGTGTTCACACAAGCCTTCAGAAGACCTGAAATACATGAGTTTTATGGACTACTTTATAGTTCCGGTGTATGCAAACTGGCAGTAACACAATATTCTCATTTTGTGTTCCACAGAATAAAACATTGTTGATTTTGGGTGAACTATTCCTTTAAGAAGGGAAGCTAGCTTACTGGCAATGGGAAACACAGATTGGAAAGGTACAACGGGTTTGATAACACACACACATTAAATACAAGACATGGAACAAATGACCATTGTGCTTACTTAGCCGGACATAGCTGATGTTTCAGTGCGTGTATATGTGTGTGTGCAGTTGTGATCTCTACGGGAGACAATGAGAGCCCCTGCCGAGCACGGGAATGGTCGGAAATACAGGGATCTGACTGCAGGCGCTCTCAATTGGCCCATCATTATTCTTGACACAATTCCTCTCGTTTTCTCTCTCCATCCCTCACTCCTTTCCTCCACCTCCTCCTTCGCTCCGTGTCTCTATGACTGTCCGTGTTATTGTGCTCATAATGACCTGCAGCCCCCCAAACCCACCTACATCCTCCACCACTCCAAGTCATGACAGACAACCAGATAGACAGACAGACAGACAGACAGACAGACAGACAGACAGACAGAAAAGTCAATAAATGTTCTGAAAAAAAAAAAATCAAAATCATAGCCAAAGATGGAGGCCGAAAAAAATAAATAAATAAAAAAAAGAGGAAAATAAAAACAAAATGTTTCATAGTCTTTGCAGTGCAGACAAAATACACTTGTTTTGAACATTCTCTGAACACAAGTCTTAATATCGCATGCAGTGCTGCTTCTCAAGTACATTTTTGTCATTGCAAAGACAAAAATACTTCAGAATAGATTTTTTCCCACAAATATATCCAGATATATAATGTATAAAACAATTCAGCGTCAGACCCTAGTAATTAGCGCATGCACTAAATGTGCAAATCAATAAAACGTCACAAAAACCGAAGAACACCGAAAGACTGAAACAGATGAATCCTGCCTAATATTGAAAAAAAAAAAAAAAAAAAAAAGGGAAACTGCAGTAAACAATTTTGAAAAAAAAAAAAAAAAGTATGTGAAACAATATGAAAAACTGTATTCAATATCTTCAATGCATTCAGTGATTTAACCTGAAAAATTCAAAAACTTAATTTAGCAAGTGTCATCCTGTTAATATTTTGGAAATGAATGGGTTATATTTTTACTTTTATTTTTAATTAAAAAAGTTATTCTTAATCCAAGTTTGTGTAGAAATGTCTATACTTCTGACAGCCTTATCAAATAATGAGTCACGACAGATGTTAACAATAGTGATTTGTCACTATCAACATAAAAGTTTTAGTTAAGAGCACTGCATTTTGGGGTACAGTATCTCACACGGGTTCTTCTTGTATATTGCATATTTTGGCAAAATGTCAACTAGTACATTTGTACAGAAAATGCACTCAATATGAACAGCATACATTCTGCATGCTACGAAATAATGTGTGATATGGTGTCACAAACAGACTCACAGACACAGATCTGATACTGTAGCAATAATAGTTCCCACTGACACACAGTCATTCTGCACAGATATTTGATCTAATGTAGATTAACACACACAAATGTCACTCTGCATCATGGTGCAGCTCTAATGAGGCCTAATTTCCGGTCCCAGAGGAGGTCATTTAACATCCTAAAACGCCTCAAACTGCATCCATCACTCATACACACACAAACTCGCTTAATCCAGGACTCCTCCATAATGCTGACAGGTTCTTGAG